CGGATTGCCTTATACCTTTTCGGCTCCAGGGTCGTTCTGGTGTTTCTTTTACAAAAGCACATGAAGAGCTGATTAAATTGGATATAAATTTTTTTACTATTCACTTTTGGTTTCAGCTTAACTTTCGCAATAGATGTTAATAATGAGATCTCAAATTTGACATCTGTTTGGATGCTACCACACTCAGTACTCGTGTATTCAGATTAATTAACACTTCAAAAAAAGTAATCTATTGCGGACAGTTCAACGAAATGCCTACATGATATGAAATGTAACAGGTGTAGGTGAAGAAAGATTTGCCAAATTTATCTTCGTCGTCTGAAGTGTAATACCTGCCCCTTCGACATATATAATTTAAAATTAGGTCTATAATTTCCCAATGCTTGTACCCTCACTAGTGGTCCATGTAAAGCTACTATTAGAGTAGGAACGATTACGATCCTGTTCCATCTTCACATGAAGACTGTTGGTTTTCGCTCAACAAATTCAAATGCTTCGGAGAAAACATGTACAGAAACGATGAGCGATCCCTCTAAGAGAAAGACAAAATTGTGGTCAGTATGCTATATGCCTAATTTAAAGCCTTTTATATATGTAGAACATGCTTACTTGTTAAAAAATAGCTTTTGTTGTATGAGTGTCCACTGTCTACTGTAGTGCATTCCATGTATTTCGTTTTTGCTTAGGATTACTATATCAGCAGTGTTGTGTAACGCGTAGTGTTTATTCTATCCTAATAAAAAACAATTACTTTGCTTCTTCTTGTAAAGGGCGACGTGCCTGTACGCTCAGCTCAGGATAGCAATTCAGCCCCAATAAAAACTGAGCATTATTAGTTGTCTAAAAACAGATTCTTTATACACACACACACACACACACATGTAGAAAAAAAGAGCCGACTTCAGAGGCAGAATCCTTTAGTATAATCCATGTGCCATTCCTGCTTTCTCTTTCCCTGACAAAGTCACCACCCCCTTTTGAAGCGTCCACAGTTACCGAGTCTCGCACTGGTGTCATCGCCGCTAACTCTCGAGGAAAGCAGAAACGCAAAAGAGGAAGAATTAACTCGAAAAATAAATAATCTAGGGTTAGCGAACCACGAAGAAAAACAAGGTGGGAAGGTGGGGTTACTAAAGTTAGAGTTTCTTCTAGATAGCTGGGACATCCTCCTAGTCTCGATTTTCCATGATAAACGAACAAACGCGTCACCTGAACTCTTCGACTTAGTCCGAGGACCCAACGAGAGCAGAATTGGGCTCAGTGTGCCAATTTTTTTTGGCTCATAACCGTGGACAGTACTCACAGTCTCAAAGATCTTAACGACCTCGGGACTGGTAGTTCTTGGAGATTTGCCAAGCAATGAAAACTACAATCTGAGCAATCTGTCTCCTAGTCTTGGGAGCGATTCGCTCGTCGATACTTATTTGTCCTGTGGGAATGGTGCCTGCTTGAGCCATGGGTGTGTCCTGCAGCGCTGCCCTGCGTGACAGGGTGGCAGGAGAAATAAGGCTAATTAGACGTTTCTCTATTCGATCTGCTAATCGTTTGGTCGGAGATTCGATTTAAACATTTGCGTGCCTTTTTGTGTATAAAAGTTGCCTAGTTCTAGTTTCTAATGATAATACATGTGACGATGTCGTCGCAAAAAGATTCTTGAATGCTTGGAAAGCAAGATGCTAAAGCTAACATTCGGCTCCCTAGCCCTAGCTACAACCACCGCTGCAATTTGGTTTGAAATGCCCTGGATGTATCCTCTGCTTTCTCTGTTTCGCATGGGCCCTATGTTGGAAGGTCCTTATGGACACAGTAACTCCACACTCTGCCATGCTCTGACTCAGTTGAATCGGAACGAATCGTTATTTCGTAACGTGCTCAGACTAATTTTGTTCCCTTGCTATCTTGCGTACCGTTTTCAATATTGGTTTCCGGTTTTTGTTAACAACGAACGAATTACGCTTCAACTTCCGGGCTATATTATCAACAGTATGCTTCGATATTCAGCCTGGCCCTTCTTGCAAAAGTGTCCACTGTCCTTTTGTAACTTCCTCGCAGTTCTATTACGAGTTTATGTATAGTAACGAGATCTTCAAAATTATCTGTGCTCATAACAACGTCATCAAATAGACTAAAGTGATAATCATTATTATACAATATGTCGAACCTTTTATGTCTTGCCATAAATAGAACAACCCGAATTTGGATACCTGCATTGTGTGTACTAACTCGCATACTCATACGCGTATTGATACACAGCCATTGCACAACATGCCTTTCCATCTACACCAGATTAAAGATGCTCCTTTAGCGACAATATTAAGCCGTGTGTTATCGCTAGAAAGCAGAGGAAATTAAACTTCACTTGAAAAATACCATATATATATTTTTTAGGGACGGAAATCAGTTCGGTCAAACTCGACAATGTATAAAACGTTTAGGTTGCCCGATTTGACTGGTCAATATATATATATATATAGGGTATGGTTTGCAAGATGAAACGGACTTTGGTGGACTGTTTGTCTTAATGGGCATGCGTTCTGGGCTATTTCTGACACCGAACGAAGGCCAGGCAACAAAATGGTGAATTCTTCGTGGTTAAAAGAAGCGTACCCTTTCCAGAATCCTCTCGTACTGAACGGCCATTCATCAGAAGAATTCGATTCCCGAAATCGACTAACTCTGTTATTGTTGGTTTTCCTGTAGCTTTTGAAAATCTGGGGAACGAGTCAAACAGCAGAAGTTTTTAGAGGGTTTAGACACAAGATCATTTTCGATACATCTGTATTTCTGTTGTAGAAGTAAATATCTGCTTGAGGGAGGATAATTAATATCAATTGTCAACTAAATCGTTCAGGTAAGCCCTAACAGCTAGATTTCTCACGATCCCTTACGCCATTTTGTACTTTTTGAGCTTTTTGGCTATCGTGAGCCACTGGAGTTTTGGGACCTTTAAAAAGTTCACATGTAACAATATCGCTTGACGCATAGTTGCTGTTAAAAGGTTATTTGCAAATAGGGAGAATTTGGCTGGTTATATTGAATAAGTATGACTCTTAAAAATGGCGCTTTTAAAGTATGGAAAAAATGTTTTCAGCCGTCCGCTTTCATTAGATATGATCTTAAAAATAAAATGTAAGAAAACGTTACAGTTTAAACGTGATACCTTATAAACGTTATGTTCGCTGCGAACGGACAGCTCCCCAGACTTCCCCATCGTTATTTAAGCATTCGTCAATCTATTATTTGAGCTTCTATGTGAAATATCTATGCATATACGTCTTATATGATAGTAACTGTCTTCCAATCACGTGTTTATCTGTGACTAGTTCTTACAGCTTCGTTCATTGCCGGGTCTGTATCAGTGTATGTCGTTACGTGACAGCCATCTGTGCCACAATGATATATATATATATATATATATACACAATATATATATATATATAAGCACTTGTTAATTAATTCCGTCCGGGTCATTGCAAATAATATTATAATACTACTGTAATACCAGATGGCAAGCGTATTTGCTGCCGATTTTATACTTAGACCATCTACAGTGTCGTCACGCTTAATAGGCAAACACGTTAACATACCGTAGCATTGCCGGTCCAATGCCTCTGAATCTGCCATCTGCCCCTTTCTTTGATAAGAGCCGAGTGGTTTACGGTAGTAGTACGGTGGTGCTATAGAACCTCCTACGAATAGAGCATAAAATGACATTATGTAACCTTTATTTGAGGCGCTCAACTTCCATTGTTTAATGAAGGATCAGCAGCGCTCATCGCATAGGTAGTATTATTTATTTTATTGCTAATAACATATTGAATTAGTGCTAACAAATTGTCAATGATCTGTTTTTACAAGCTCATATTGTCAAGTTTCAAGGCAGAGAGTTAAATCTTGACGTGGAGTTGTCAGCTTGGATTAATCGGGGAAGCGGAATCGGAACCATTCTGATGGTTCTAAAACCTGGAAATTTCACGACAGGGACATAACACCACATTTATTGAGCCCGACTTGATGCAATCCGTGCAGAATAAGAACATCAAAAGCTGAACCAGATAAGGAAGCTATAAAGCCACCGGGTATCGAAAATTGATAGATCTTAGGGGTCTTATCTCATAACCTTACTCTTAGAGGAATTTTTTTTGAGTACATTGCTTTATCTGCCTTCAGGCCACAACTTTGTGTAATTTTAAGTAGCTTACCAGAGCCGATGTGAAAATGTAGTAACGAAATGTCGGCTTCATTCTATCGCTAGCCAAATGTAGCGTTATACAACCGCTTGTCGAGATAGACATATTACTTGGTAGATCGGTACTACCCTATCTGCCCATTCGTTTTTACCGCAGTTGAATAAAGCATTGATTTGACACATAATTGCCTAAGTCGAAATAGGTATTTTTCAGTTTAGCTGGCCGGGCAGCTAATCAGCCTGACAAGCGTAACCCTACCGTGGAGATTGAGGAAACAAGCTGTGCTCAAGTTCCCTTGTTTTTCTCATGGCTGGGTCTTTTCGTATTTTTCGCTCCGTTCAAACAAACGGCCAAGATAACCAGTTTATTCTTTATCAAGCGCCTTACGATCTAAATTCTTCAAGCCAAAGCGTAATTTATACACTTGATTACAGTCGCCTCTCGCTGCGTCCACGGTTCTGCTATCGTCTTAGGGGGGAACCCGGAGCACCGCTGCGCCTCTCATTCTAATAACACACATATTCACGTTGAACGCCACGAGTGATAGACAAGGCCAAGGACGGTGCTATGAATCTCTGACTACGAATTTATGAGCTGTGAAAGTTCTTCTACTTTAGTCGGCTTTTTAACTTGATCGCTTTCGTAGTACGACTATATTAACTAGCTAACTGATTTGAAATTTAACTAATTTAAATAATAACTGATTTGATTGAAAATTTAGGCACAATGTTTAAGTAACGTTTTTATTGCATCGTCTCTGCCTTCGTTCTCATCTCTTTATTATTGTTATTATTTGTGCTCTGCTTTCAGATGACGACGCCCCAAAGTGGCTAGCGGAAGATGATCCTGCCGGCAGAAGGAGGTCATCGAGCTCTCGTGGTTGCTGTAGAGACGCAATGGCCAGCAAAGAAAACCAGGCGAGAACAAATGGCGCTACAGGAAAGCTCTTTTCCAAGGAAGACATTAGGTGAGCGTGTGTGCAGGCAGACAGAAGAACTTGCCCTAACTCGTTGAAGCTTTTTCGTTTTAGTTTTACTATGAGATTTTATTTTTTATTAACTACGCGCGAGCTTGTGAAACTCGATTAACTTCAGCGGTCGTATCGTAAAGTAAAAATTCTTCATATCCAGATATTCAAATCCGAATAATAGAATGACTGTTGATCACCCAATCGTATATCAACCAAACAAAAGCGACAATACTGGATGTACTAAATCATGTAAGCAGGGAATTCTCAAAGATGTCCAAAAAAGCTTTGGGCAAGAAATTTCTAAGAACTAAAGTTAAGTAAAACTGTCAACAGAGTTCAGATAGCACAGTTAGAGTCTAAAAGGTACACGATATGTCTACGAATGTGATGACAGAGCAAGATAAAAACGTTGATCAAATAATAGTCATCTAGTCATCCGTGTGCGTGCAGTAAAGGATAAACCCAATAGACGGGCACTACAGGAAACTGCAAGGGATTGTGAAGATGCTAGCCTGAATGGTAGTGACTGGTTGTGAGTCGGACGCGGGCATCGCGGCAGTGCAAGCTGCTGGAAGGTCTCCTGCCAATCGAGTGGTTAGAGTTCACAGCGTGATGAGCTTCCTTTGCTGTGCCCCATTGTTGGCACAAGAAAATCAGTCAGGAGATGATATATGGGGTCCGCTCGCGCTCCTTTGCCATTTTCTTATCGAAATGCTGCCTTCTAATTCCTTTTAGTACACTGGCCACCCTTTTAAGCAAAGCCGTTTCTAACAAGCCTATGGTCAACGATAATAGTATGGCTTCACGACTCCTACTGTGGCGATGCGAAGACGTCAATGACAACGAAGATAAATAATGAAGCCCGTTTAGTTGAAGTTGGTTGGGGGTTGGGAAGTCTTTCTTTTTCACCGGCGATGACAATGACGACTTTTATAAAAACACGTGGTGGACGTGAACAAAAACGGAAATCGACGTGGTTGCTTTAACAAGGGACGAAAAGGGGGGCGCACTCTCTTCTGTTTCCCGCTGCTGTACACCTCGAAAAGGGGACCGACTGAAACAGCAAGAACAACAGTGAATAGATGAAAGAAAGTAAAAGATATTAAGATAAACGAAACAACTGGTGTTTGACGGGTAGTCCTATTAGCTGGTGGCTTGTCGAGAAGCGATGCCACCTTATTGTTTGCGCCCTCGCCTTCTCCCCTTTTCCTATAGGAACTAAGCGCTGCCCGATGACTGCACTACGAGTAATACTATAACATGACTTGCTTTGCTGCCTGCCGTTTGTAAGAAACTTAAAGGAAGAACGATGCCAATACTCTGAAAGATAAAACTAAACTAAAATGCAGCAGTAGGAGGAAAAGTTAGAAAAACTAATTAAGACTAAAATGCCCATCAAAACGGAATAACTTCGTTTTCAAAGCACAAAGGAACGTAGGTTACTGGAGTAGATGGGCATTGCGTCTAATTCCTAATACAATAGTATCTCTCTTTATCGCCATTGTCCGCGTAGATCAAACAATAAACGATATTTATATACGTTCACAATATTAATAAAATTACTGGTAATAGTAATAACAATAATAATTATTCGTAGTCTTATCGTGCACTATTTAAAAGTTTTATTCCCACATAAATTGCTATAAGCTTTTTCCGATCCGTTAAAGTTCAAATGCTGAGTCATTGTTTCCTTTTTTTTGATGTGTCCTTGCGTACCTTTGGCAATCTCAATCCTCGAAGTACGTATGTGTATTTTAAGATATGTCTTCGTCTGACTTGACAGTTGTCCTTAAGCGCCTTATAGATTGAGAAACAATAATATAGACAGGTGCAGACGCTAACGACGTACACATACATATATTTTATGCTAGTCAGGCATCAGCAAGCACAGAGTATATAGATATATCCAGGCGTCCACTGGCTAAAGCAATTGTTCAAATTGCCATCCTTTTTGGCCTATTGTCATTTGGCTGTTCGTTTTCGTTTCGACGAAAGTTTGCCATAGTAAAACAGCCATGTATAAGGTAAGCCCGCGTTGTTATATAGCACAGAATGTATGAATTAGAGTAACTGCTTTGAAATGACATAAAGGATATAGAAAACGGATTTAAGAGGGCGAAAAGCGAAAATCTAGCGATACGAAATCCTTTTACCATGTCTTTGCTAAGAGTATTAGACGTATAGACAGGCGTAAGCTTAGCAGCTACTTTAAACCGAAAGTTGTCATGACTACAGCGGAAGGGAGCGTAATATACATGCTGGTATTACCGACTAGGTCAAATGAATAATGGAACTAATTTAATACAGATAGCATCACCATAACCACAGTCTACGGACACAGCTTAAATTATCACTTAGCTCTTCCCCATTGCAGGTGTGTGAGGTAGCTTTAGCTTAACAGGCTTCTCTTTAGTCCGGCTCACGGTCGAGTCGCGATGTATTCGCGACCTTCGAAACCAGACAAGTAGTGGAGGGCCAACGACTCTCGATCAAAGCTGCTATTTCCCGTCCCATAAAGCTGGTGATTGCGGTGACCGAGTGTAATACTCGATAGTCATCACTGGGCACCATTGAACGAAGTGCATGACAGCCAAAAAGCGCCGATACGAATAGATAGTGATTTTCAGAAATAAAGCTAAACACCTTTTACATTATCGCCTCTTCTCGGATGTGTGAAAAGATCCAAGATGCTTAAAAATACGATTGTAGCCTTTTACCGGGAATAGGGCCTACAGCTACGGTAATGAATGGGTCCAGTGGGACGATGGCCATCTCACGTCATGCTAGGCACAGGCCGCACACGCGATCTGAAGCCAAGGCCAATTTCACTCTGCTGAGCAAAGACTACCTTGACGTGTCCCTCTAGTTCTCAACGGCTTACGAGATTTACCTCTGAATAAATAATGATAGCCGTAGGGACATTCTTTAGGTTCATGCGACTGGTGCTGTTAAAAAAAAAACAGTTATAGGAATACGTTGTTACTGATTCTCTTAACAGTTTTTTTTTTATCTTGCTCATTATATTGATAGGGAACAGTATTGTATCACCCGTAAGGAAATAAAAACATTCGAAGATAAACGATCGAAGAAGCTGTTTGGCTGTCTTGTGAAGGGATCCTGCGCCGGCAGCAGCAAGGACAAAAAATCAAAGCGGTCCTCTATTCAGAGCGACGAACCGAGCGTAGCGTACGGAGACGACAACAACCGACAATCAGGTTAATTTGTGTGTTTGAAGCACCTCACTATTTCTCTCCTTTAGCAAAGATAGTGTCCCTACGTATCGAGCTCATTAAGCTCTTTCGTGTTTATTTGTACATTTATTTATAGCACAGTGGTGATGGCGAAGAACACGGTCTAGTAAGATCTATTAATGTGGGTTCGTAGATTAATCGAAGCCTTTTATTATATGTATTTTGCATTTGAAACGGTAATACAGCCTATGTCGTAACGCATACATGTGAAGTAAGCTATAGTATTCAGACTAATGGTATTCTTTCGCTGTCTGTCTAGATGCTTGCTTGTAAACCTAATGTAGATCTTTTAAAAGTAAATGTTTGTACGTATATCTCGGTTAATAACGTATTTTCTTGTAATTGTTTGCCGTCTTTTCTCCAATACCTTGGGGTGCACTCCGCAACGCTAATTATTGCAGAACCTAAACCTCACGAATCGCTAAGCAAGAAAGAATCATCAGAATACGAAGATGCCGGCTTTCGATATCGACCAAAACCGTTCTGCCTACAAAATCCGAACCGATTTCAGTACAAATCCGAAGCAGCGTCTCAGGCCGACACGAACTCGATCCGCGTCGTTCCTTGCCGCTCAGCGTCGGCAAAGCCACGTCTTCAAAGTCAGCATAGCTCACAAGGGAGCATTACCTCATCCCGCGCGTATCTACCCAACCGCTCATACGAAATCTCTTATGCCATCTCACTGCAGCAACACGATGACCGCGACAAACAAGTAATGTTCCACTCTGCGTTAGCGCATAACATTTCAATAACAGCAAAATCAACATCGTCATGAAAAAGCCAGCATTTTTTATTCAATGTGTAGTATACATCGTATTTACACAACGGTTTCTATGTATATTGTATATTGATAAGGTTGACCTAGCCGATTTACTTGCACGTGGGTCAATTCGTCCACGCGTGCATCGAGAAGTTCTATGGCTGCACCATAGTTGAGCGGTGAACACAAGAGTAGATGGAAGGGTAGGTGGGATGCCCCTTACTATCCCAGTCCGCAATCGATGTCCATTAATATGAGGGAGATGAGCCTCAGCTCCCGCTAGCAATATATAGGGATAGCGTTTTCGATGGGGTCCAAATAACAGAACGGAGGGGGAACAGCTAAATTGCAAAAGGAGCCCGGTGTCTGGTAAATAGATATCCATCGAACGGTGTCTATTTAAACATTTGCCGACCACTCTACGGATAGACGGGCTAGGCTGATGTATAGTAAGAATGAACTGAATACTATCTAGTCAATAGGATAATAATTTTTACCGAAGGCGTTCGGTAAATAGGGCATAATAAGATAACAACAAATATATTATTCGCTATTAAGTGAAATCATAGTAAATTTAGGACTGAGATGAATGTGGCTTCAAAGCCTAACTGTTCGCCTTTGACGCTGAAATATTATTTAATCCAGCCTAGGGTTTTTACTTTTGCCCTGAATTTACTGCGCAAAACCTGTCATTGAAAACAAAGGACAGTAGCTTCCTACATGCCTGACTGAATTACTGAGTAAAACTTTTTACGATGTCTTACTAGCTGAAAATCCAGAACTATATGCAAGTTTGCATTATAACTTTATGTTCGTACTGAAATTTATATATATATATATATATAAATAAATTAAAAAAAAAAATATATATATATATATATATATTTTTTTTTTTTTTATATATATATAAAATATATATATATATATATATTATAGACTGCAGAACTTTGATAAACGATTTGGTTTCACGTTGACGGTCAAATACAGTTCAATACGTAAATATTATGGAGATATGTAGAAGTCACGATCTGCCTCAAGGTCGAACTGTAGGACTTCAATTTTCCAACAGGCCTCTTAATGTCTTAAATGTCCGAAAAGTCGAATTTAGAGAACAGCACCAGCACTGTTTACGCATAATCAGGTATCCGGCTGCCGTTCAGTGGATGCACTCAACGACGTGTGGCGTGGTAGTGGATACTACGATCAGGCCACGGGGCACCTGCCGGAGTACTCCATGACACTGGATAACCGGCACAGCGCTCATAATCACCACTATCGAGGGACAACATCCGCGCACATCGGGCATGTCATCGCTCATGGCGGCGTGTCAACGACGCCGCGGCCAAAATCGGTAGCCACAGATGTTATGACGCATCAGGAACCGACGGACGGAAGCGCCAGTATGGTTAGATCGAACACTGTCGGAGGAGGCTTAGAAGATGTAGATGCAATGCTTGTTGGTCCCATGGCCACTTCAACGCCATTGAACGTCAGCAGAAACAGGTATAATAGGACTAGATGCGTGTAGCTGAAGTTCACACGAAAAAGTCGCGTAAACGAGGCGGGTATTTCTCTTTTTTGTTGTCCTTCTATTTGCATCTCCAGTGCGCTGTTGGTCTTGAGGGGCATCTCCTAGTTTAAACGATGGCATAAGAGATATCTCAAATTTGATTGAGTTACTTTCGGCGGAACATGTATTGAAGCATATGGCTGTGGTCGCGGCTTAAAGCGAATTTACCAACGATGTCCATATCTCGCCGCCCATTGGGTGTTACGTTTGCACAAGTGAGATATACCACGCACGTACGCAGCCACAATATTCTACCAACGGTCTTTTCTGTCTAGCACGATTTATCAAGTCTAGAAGTAGTACGTGACTTTGTTGTACGCAAATGTATCCAATATGCAAATTGTCATTGTCCTTGCTACCATTTTTGCCCGTGTCTTGTCCTGGCAGTTTTCGATCTGTCAATTCGACCCCTGTTTTGACTCAATCTAACCACGTTCCGTATCACTATGTCTTCAACCTTTCCCCACGCACCCCATCGGTCCGTGTGTTCCCTTCTATCCCCCCCCCCCCCCGCCGCTCCCACATTATTACTGTAATACGAATCATTGACAGGTGTAACTGTCACTGTTCGTCGTCCTCTGTGGACAACCAAGAAAATCTGGCAGACGTCACGCAATACTTCATGCAACGCTCATTTGAGGAGAGTCTGAGTCACTCGGGTCGCATGTCTGCCGCCCGCCGGGCCCTACAGAAGACCGCAGCAACCCAGACGGCTACAGCAACGGCAGATAACACGACCTGCACCTCGGTCACTCCCACATCCTCGCGTACCCCCGAAGTCCCTCCGGACTACCTGACGCTTTCGCCGCGTACCGCGCAAGCATCCGCTTCGTCTAGCCGGAAGTCCTCAAGGAGACGAAATGCGAGCAGGGATTCAAGCTCGCGTAAGGCATACACATCAATAGATTCTGACACTGACGAAAGGTAGGTGAATACGGATTTATCGATACACGAGAACGATCGTTGTTGCTTAATATAGTTCCATCCAGTCGAGAATATGCGCAGTTAACCGGCTGGAACAGAAGCTGTCTGAAATAGATTGGCCCAAAAAACAGTTCCCATGTGCCTCCTTAAGAGACTTTAATTCCAGAATTGTCAATTTGATGTCTTAGTATAGTATATCAAAAATCCACATGGAAATAAACAAACATAACTTGGTCCGTTTTTCGCTAGGAATAATTTTATTTAGGCACTTTATTATACATAGCATTGGGGCGCGTACATAGATATACATAATGTAACTCTGTTTAAAAGAAGTCGAACCACATGCATTCGACATTATTATTATTACTTAATGATTGAGCAGATTCTTTTAGCTGGCTTTTTTGAAGTTTAAGCACCACACTTAAGAAACAGGACACTGTTCAGTTAGCGCCAAGTCACACCACGGTGCTCGATTATGCTGTCGCCGTGCTTGCTTTTACAGTATTGACGATGAACTCATGGAAGTGGACCTACATAGCACTCAACAACGGCTAATGGCCTCGAACTCGAGGCACTCGTTATCGAGCTGCCACCCGTCTGAGCAGCTAGAAACTAGCTCCAGTCCCGAGCACAAATCACAATCTAGCCAGAAACAGCTGGCTGCGTGGACACACCGGCGCTCAATATCGAAAGAACAGGTCGCAGCGTCCTCCTTCGACGCCTCTTCAACCACACTCACTACCGTCGACGCACTCCTAAACGTCTCGTACGAATTAAACGAAGACTCATACCAAGGAGCAGCAGCTTCGCCCCATAATTCTGTTGCCACCGAGATATGTTCGCTTGATTCGCGGCACGCTGTTCAGGCGCACTCTGGGAAGAGCGCAGCACAACAGCCCACTGCCGTTGCTTCACCCGCACACGAAAAGCGCGCCCGGAAGGGCCAAGGCGCCAGAAGAAGCCCATGTATTGACAGTAATAACCCTCAAGTAATGTCCTATGCTCAATACCTCCTACAACCCGCGTGCGACTTCCCAGAGGAGATAACGGGTAAGTGAATATGTTCAACGGTGCGCTGATAAGATCATCTAATATAACAGCTGGTGTAACCTTGTTTTGTTGTTATTGAGTTCACTCGTGGAGGTCACTACGTGCTTTAGGTGAGCTCGGATCAGTAAAAGCCCAGCAAAGAAATTAACACTGACATACGGGTATTTTGGTGGATCAATTTATTCAGATTTTATATTAGGCTTATGCTTATTTTTCTGCGTTTGCTGGGTTCTTATATACTGAGTGTGCATGGCCATACCCCGCTGCAGGCAACCCGAATAAAATAAGTTGCCTAAATAGTAAATATTATTTTATATGGGCATCATCTGATTTTCGGTTCGCTCTAACTCCTAATGAAGTTGACATAATTTTAATTTTCCTAATTTATTTTGATAACAAGACTCATTACTATTTGGTTTCGTGTAGAGTATTTTCTTATTTGCCCAAAAGTTGGCTCAGAACTCCAGCATTCGCTTGTTACTTATATAGTGATGATAGTACCTGATTGAGAGACAGAAGCTAGCCTAACGTAGTACGGATGTCCTATATCATTAAATTCTGTTGATTGAAACAATTATAACGCTGCCTCAAGAAAAGTTTATCCCTCTCGATTGAACCGTTGAAAGTATAAACGGTTAATATCAATATATAGTCTCTTCTGTCAACACCCTCGATTCTGTAGGCAGTTTTAGCGCAGAAGTGCTCAACGCCACAGGCGCTGAAGACCTAAACTCGCCAGACAGCGAATCCTCAAGCAGTCGCTTCACCGAACGCGAATCGTCATGCAAGAGTTCCACCTCGAGTTCAGCGGGGGTCCACAGGGAGATGGCTCGAGGCTCCCATAGCCTTCAAGGTAGCGCAGGAGCTGGTCAAGCGAGCACCCAGGAATCGAATACCCGAGAGGCCTCGCTCGGGCTGCCCCTTGAGGAGGTCAAGAGCGACAGCACCTCAGCTGATTATATCACAGCTACCGAAGGTTAGTAATTTAGATCTTTCAAGTACTGTTTAGTGTATATGTTAGCTTCTATAATTAGAACCCTGAGAAAAAAAAAAATAAATTAATTACATCAAACGTTATAGTAGTTTCAAGGCAACACCGCGTCTTATTTGAGAAAAGACGCACTCTTTCCAAATGAAACACGATAAATGGCAGATTGCCAATTGTATACTGTCCAAGATAGAGCATAGATTTGGTGACTGAAACCCTAAGTAGATAGACTCTTAAACAAATAATATGCCAAAAATAGCATAGATCACGAGCGGCATCCTTCTAACAAACATTTAATATATAGAGATTGACTGCACTAGCCAGTTATTCAAGCTGAACTTCTAAAAATCGATTAGTCAAAGAGATAGAATGCCAAACAACCTTCCCTCTTCCACTTCCATAGTTTTTGCATTTTCATTGCCTCTTTCCTAATTTTAATTCCTATTTTGTTGTGAGTTTCGACGATTGAAAGGTAGGGCTGTTGCACCCGATAGATCAGTTCATCATTCCATTGAAAAGCACATAAGGACCGCCTCCATCGTTCAATACCCTTTATACAAGCTAGATCCCAATTCACTTTAACAAGAAACGACAATGTTTCGCTGCACCCTCCACTACTAGTAGCCTGAATATGACGCGTCTCTTTACCGGGTGGAAAAGCACAGGGCAGGCTACAGCGGTAGTCTGGACTTTTGTGCGATGAGTGTCTGAATTGTGTGGCCGGCTGGGCTGAATGGATTCACTTAGAGGTGGGTTAGATCCGGAGTGACTGGGCTACTTGAAAGGGATAGCTGAGTGAGCGGCTGCCGCAGGCGGACACAAATGTGTTCCTCAATGATAACGCAATAAATTAATTACCGTTTGCTTATTTAGTGTTTCCTTCTACATCTGTTGTCTGCTGTCAGCTTTTACTTCTATAATGGCGTTAATGACCATACTGCCGTCCTCTTTTTTACTTCACCACCCGTTGTACTATTGTTTCTGAACTACTGCCTGACGTCGACACCACCACGTAATGGCTACCATCGTTCCGCTTCGGCTACTACAACAACCGCCGTACAACATCGTGTCGTGTATATTCTTATGCACTTACTTACTTTTATCGTATTGCATGTACGGCACGGGGTGACACGTTGCGTCCTAAAGGCAAAAACTCTAAAACGATTACGAAAGGTTTGTCTTCGCACGAGGGCAGCACCTCATTGGAAAGCGCGCCCGAGATTAGCTTGTGCCCGGGAACGACTCCAGGAGAAATAGCCACTTCGGTGGCGCCAGCTGGCAGTGGGCGCGAGCGAGGTCTCGAAGCTCTCGACCTGCCTTCGCCATCAGTAGAACTGCCGCAGCCAGGAGAACGCCATAGAGGGGTCGAATTACCACTCTCGAGCGAGAGCGAGGATGACTCGACTAAAAAGGACGACGAACGCGAGCAGGAAACAGGAGACAGAGAAGACGACGAACCTGAAGCGAAAGCTATAGACAACGACGACCAGAGCTCCGAGGGAGAATACTCACTTGGGACGGCTGAAAATATCGAAGGTAAGCGCGTTTGTGGCGAACGCCTGTAGTTTACGCAGGAAATAAGCGTAGATACAGTAGACAATAGGTTGAAGATGGTGTACAAACAAAAAATGAATCGACAATGTATTCTATATAGATAGTGCCTAGAATAATATTATACATTATTTGTAAATGTTTATAAATATATATTATAAACTCTAAAGAATTAAAGGGTGTACTAGTTGATGCAGATAACTTAATTGGATTTTAGTATTTTCTTAAATATCTTTTCTTAGTAGTAGATCGCTTAAGAAGCAAATTTGTCTAGGCAAAGTTGAGTGTTCTCAGAATGCGTCGGTTTACAAATTAAACGAAGGCAAAGCAACAAAGCTAAAATATAGGTCGGACCACCTGAGCGTTTCGAAGTTTTTTTCCAAAAATGCCTTTGAATATGCATTGCCAATGGAGTCGACATTTATGAAATGTACTCTATCAAATAGTTTTATGGCACATGCACTCACTGTGTGGCATATCGGCATTGCAGGAGAGACGGATAAATCGGACGATGATGCTGAAGAAGATGAAACACTGGGACGGCGCGACGAGGAGCCTATGGAGTGTATGGTCCCCACATCGTTGACGATGCTCCCATCTCCTATTGAGACTTCGTCGCCCAAGACGAGCCATAAGGGGTTTTCAAACAACGAGACCCAGCAACAACAACAACCGACTCATATTTGCGAAGTTTTTGAAGATGAGATCCACGGAAAAGCGCTAATTCTACCATTAATGACCTTTCGGGACGTTCAGAATGCCCTAGGTAAAGTGTTCAAGGAAGAGGGTGTATTGGTATATTGGAATCAAATCTTTTGTGCAATTAGGACTAGCTTAGCATTCTATAAAAACACTAATGTAGCCTATATTATTTGTATGTTATATATTCGTACAGCGAATGAAGTTTCAATATGTTTTGTTTCATATTTTTATGTGTTTGATTAATATTGATATCGTTAGGACGAGCCGAGCTCCGTCAGTACGACGAGCTATCGACGGTATCTGAAGTTTCTGAAGAGAATTCAACATCAGAACATCAAGTGACAGAACGCTATACGCCAACGAGTTCGTGTGGGTCTACCGGTACAATTAAGCGAATCTACCGGCGGGCCGACTCTCCCCAAAGGAAATACTTCCAGGAAGTTCATAACGAAGCTAGCGTCCTCGACCAGGATTCCACGAACCTAAAAGGTACGTTGAGACCAATTTATAATAATGAGGTATTGCTGTAGCGGGAGAGAAGGTTCAAGAGGGCAAGTGTATCGGTGACATACCTCTCGGAGAGCTGATTAAGACATGCATCCTATACGGCCGCTGAGACCGCGCTAATGAAATGGCTTCGGCAGTTTAGTGTGGTAAGTATTGAGATCATTTGAAAACGCAAACGATCCGTTAGTCCTTCCCCGCTTGAGATGGTATAACAATTTTTCGCTCCTACGACGCAGAGAGTTTAGCAGAGGCACGGGCGCTGGTAGTCGCCAAAAAAAAATAACATATAGGTGGTTATGTGTGTTCTGTAAACGGTCGGATACTTTGGTCGTCCTTTTTAAGCAAGCAAAGCTGTCACAATAGATACTTGACTTTAGCAGGACAGTCGAATGTGGCATCCTATACACGGATTCTTACTTAAATAAACGATGTTTTTCTACGGGAAATTCATTGAGCAATAAAGATCAAGTCGCAACTTACTTATTTCTGGTGGGCAACGCTAAGTAGTAGACCTTTTTGAAATGCCCTTTTTTCTTACTTTAGGGTGTATCTATGAACATCCTTCATTGCATAAGCCATTCGTTCTGACAATGACAGAATGTCAGTTTATCATTAGTAGAGCAAAAAACTCCTTAGTGGAACAGGGTTAAATTCGGCACGTTTTTGGCACTAACGTCTTGGTCGCTGTATGTATGCATAACACGATATTTAGTGTGAACGTTGCTAGCTTGCCTTTGTTTCATTTGCTTTGTTTACCCTTCTCCTGCTCTTGATCTTCAATAGATACGTCATCCGAGCTAAACGCATCAAACGATAGCGGCGGAGCCTGTATCGAAGTAACGCCAAACGACAGTGCAGATTCTCTTTCGATGACGTTCAGGCCGGAGGAAATACCCGCTATCATGTACGGCCCCGTTGGCGGCAAAACAGCAACAGTTGGCCCACAGACGACAGCGGCCCCAACAACAGAACGTCCCCAACCAAAAAAAGAAGCAAGTTCGGCAACGACAGCGACGTCGCAAGGTGGTAGTGCCGCTGGGTGTGAAGCGAAAACTTCGGATGAGACTGTCGAAAGACCCACAAAAGTCGATCAGCCTGCGATACCTTTGACGAGTAATGAAACCCGTATGCCAGCACCTCCGTGTGGTGAGTTTTGCTTAAGATAAACTAAATTCATCGTACACCGGCGGGTCTTTACTTGAAAATCAGAAAGGGGAATATTGTCATTTAGCCCACGGGAACAACATAATGGATTGGGTTGGGTGGGGTCGATTCGACGTTTTGGCTAGATATTACTAAGGAAAAACCTTATCCGCTAAAATAGCTGTTAAGCTTAAATGGACTTCCATCAAGATGCACCTAATTCCTGCTCTCTTGCGTATCCATATAAGATAGCAAACATTGAACACTCAACAAATTAATAAGAGAACTAGGCCGAAAACCAACCTACTAAATCAGGCTATTTATAGCAATATATTGAGATACCTAGGTGCAGAAACTAAACAAACTCCGATCGATAAATTTTATCACTAAGTGTCTGATACGTACATTCATAATACGTAAAAGTTATACTTTTTCAAGTAGTAGAACAGAATGAGTTTTGACCGCTGAATAAGACGCCATTGTATAGAAAGCCGTGATGTGAAGAGCGAGCATGGGTTCATTCTCTAGAAAATGGTACAAAAGTTACGAGTAATATAAAAAGAAAGTTAGAAATAATGCTTGTGATGGTTGTAGAATTACTTTTAATGTACGTAGAAAGCGTGAGGAATTATTCGCAAATCGGTGAGATTTCCACTGGCGATATAATACATGTTGTATACGGGCAGAGCTTCAAAGAAATCAGACTTTTTACTAGCTATAGTTAAGGGAAAATCATTAATATTATTAATTATATAAAAAAAAAAAACAAAAAAAAAATGAAGCGTTAAACATATCGTTCAAGTTTATTACAAATAAATTTACTAGTTTAATCTATTGCTTAGGCCTGCAAGGATATGTAGCTTCGTGCAGCCACATTCTAGGACGTGTATCAAGACCCAAAGCAGATTCCCAATAGAATATAAAATGTACAATAGTGCAATTTTTTATTTCGTTTTTTCTACGTGAAGGAATTAAATTTGTTTGAGCCTATCTCATAATTAGCGGAATTGCGATTTCATCTATGAAAACATTAATATTTATTTTAGCCCAACCCTAAATATTTCTGTGATTCAATGGCTTTATTGCCTTACGTACTGTTAAGCATAGATCTAAAGAAGTCTTTACTATAATAGTTCGATAATACAGGCTTCTCTGATGTATGAATGGGAGATATGATGGATATAAAGATTTATTACTTGGGGGTGTTGGGAGAAACAGCTTCCTTCCTTTGATTGTTCAGTCGTTTAGGCTGCGCATTTGCCTCCAGACATTTTTATTTTAGCAATCTTATAATGCATAGGCTGGCTAAGTCACTATACAACAGCGCCGAGAATCGAAGTTCCTCAGTATGAGAAGCAAATGGACATTGGAAATCCTGTCTCACTTTTAATGTAAAAGCATGGAGCAAGGCATATCAGATTATACAGCTTACTAGACTTACTAGGCAAAAGAGGTCAGAAAAACCACATACAAGTTTTATATAAAATAGCTCAGTTGGTATCCTTTAATTAACAACATGCGGTGATAACTCAGCATCGGCCCGGGTGACTACGGTCTCGGCCGAGATTCACCAACGCGGATCAGCTCATGATATCAATTCAAAGGCGTCGCCAGCTGGATCATCATGCCGTAACGGGGGGTCGCCACGTAGCGACGGTGTTGTCATGTCGACAAATAAAGATCACCAGTATCCCACTGTAGCAGTTTCAGCAGCTGTGGTACCTACAAACCGATCAGCGCCGGGGAGGCCAACTGAGTCCGGCCCTAAGGAAGGCAGTAGTACCGAATCCGGAACTCCATCATCAACGCCGACCAGCAACTCCAGTAGCAGCGATCGAAAGGAACGCCAGAACGCCAATGGCGACCCGCCGCCAAATACGAAGAGGAACAGGTATGTAGTATGCACTGATGAACCATAGCTTACTTCGTTTGAGTTTAATAACCACACATAATAACATAGCAAATTAAGGCTTTCTTAATTCTAATTAGATACATATAGATGGACTGTAACGTTTCCTTATATCCGCTCTACGACCACAAAGCCAGTTCATTAGTACCCCATTTTTTAACCGGTCAATCGCTTCACATGTAATGAACATTCTATATCAGAATTTAACGCATTCACGTATATGTTCATTATGTACAGCTAATTTATTTTCTCATTATGCATTATACTTTGCACATCAAACCTTTCTTATATGTGCTCTGGCCCATCGCGCATTTTCACTGGAGGGAATTGGGTTTCTTGGACTGCCGGGCTGCCGATTGGTCATCCCGTGATGATTCAACCATCACGAGGTGAGGCTAGGCACAAGGAAAAACTAAAGTGCCTGCCGCTATTGGATGCTTTCTGCGGTATTAAGAGATGAAGCGACAGTGCGCTTCCCTGTTTAACTTCGACGGATATTATTAGTCTGACTACGTGTGAGCGAGTGCTTTTCTTTTAAACCTTGTTACCATGCCTGTTCAGGGCTACTAACTTCTTGAGAGACAAATAGTTACTTTAACTCCCTGTAATATTTTACCAACTTTATTGGCATTGCATCGGAAACGTTAAGGTCTAGTGCTAGGACATAAACGTATGTTTGACCTGAGTATTGGCTTATAGATTTGATAGTAATAAATATGTACCTTATTGGCGATTTCGGCTATGTACTGAGAAATAAATTGCTTCAAATCCGAAATCGTCGTAGGGTATTGCACTAGACGGCTGACTTTCACTAATTACGCTATCTGCATAGAGTTCAGATGGCTTCTCAGAGATATTGTTAAACCACCGTCGACGTCCTCTTTCGATGGCCATATCTCTACGACATTTAGCGTTGCCAACGACTTGTGCCTATTTTTGATGGCCGCAGAGCGATGTAAAGGCCAACTATTGGCATGAAAAAAACCGCTTTAAACTGAGTTACCACCCGTTGCTTAATCGACAGTGCTCAACTGGTCGGTGTTCAGTGGCCGCTTCCGATGAATTATCATCAGTTTTTTTCCAGCTAAAAGTAACTGTTTAGCATTAGGATCTTGTCAAGTATTGGTTTAAAATTTGACGAGATTTCAACAACAGATAATAATAATAATAATATAATCTTTGCACGAAATAAACGATTACCACGAAGCAAATCACTCGATTAAAAGGCACTGTATTTTGATTTATATATTCTTCATATTAGTGCCTGCACTATACATAGCATAGTGTTTAATGTTTTTGTTACACGCAACGCGAACATACCTGTTCGTTGTTTTTTTTTCTTAGCTTAATCACGAATGTTTAGGTTTTCGTTATGAAGCAATGTTTACTTAACTTTTTAAGCATCGGCGGCCTTATCTTAGATTACTTCTTGGTATTTGCGACGCAACACTTCTGACGGCGACGACTATATCTGGAAAATAGGAAGCTTTCGAGAAACAGACAAACATAACAACGTCCTGGCTCAAGCCTGTCTGGAGTTTATTTATCGGGTCTTCCCGAAGGATCGTACAGCATACGCTTAGCTCGAGTAGTAATCAAAGCGAATTTTCACATTCAGACATTGATAACGGTAAACAGGCCAAACAGCCGATCGTATATGTACACTCACAAACACATTTCCAAATATGAAAATACCATTATGAAGGGTAACCAACGGCGTAGCGCTATATTATATTGTATCTTCCTCCGTGTGTACTACAAGAGTAAGTTGCTCTCTTCTAGTGGACGACGAGATGCCGCCCAGCCAAGTCGAAATTTTTATTCGTGACATATTTTTCAGGCGATTTAATGTCTGGTCGAGATCCCTAGCTTAAATCCTAAGGAACGACTGTGTGTGTGATTGATTTTTACGCACAAGCAGAGTAGAGTTAATGGGCTTTTTATCGATATCTAAGTGTATATTGTCTATAATCCGTAGATGATTCATGAGCAAGATAAAGTGACAGTGGCGTCGTTGGGGTGCAAAGTGTAATTGCCAATTTCGCCTTTACAACTTTAATTAACTTGTGATATCGCCCTTGTCGAACATAGATTTTGGACACGGGTTCACTTTGGTTCAAATCATTTTAATTGAAAACCAGAAAGTGAGCGTATTCAACGTCTAATTATAATTTCAAACAAAAATAATAGCCATATTGCTGAATGACAAGGATCGAACAACTCTTTAGTAAAAGTTTGCTAGTCGAAACAGCTTGTCCAGTAATCAGCTCCGATGGTTTACATCGTCACTTCTGCTGGGCCCACTACCTGACTGTTAGACCGCTATCGGCATTTCTGCACAAGCTGAATGGGTGGTAGGTACAGAAAAGGAAAAAGTCACTTACTAGCGAACGATTTAACGGTTGCTTCTTTCGACGATGTATGTCCCGAGTGATAGCTTAGTGGGTAACGTGTTTGCCTAGTAATCTTAGGGATACGTTGTGGTTTGGGTTCAAATTCTGCCATAGACAGCTTTTCCTTTGTGGTGGTGGTGGGGGCTAGCCGTGTGAAGGAACTCGAAACATAGTAGAGGGTTTAGCGTAGTCAGTGAACAATAACAGCGACTATAGTACAATCTGCATAGAAGAATCGATGGCTGTGTTATCGAAAATAGGTGACTTCATAGCTTAAAAAGCCACTATAAAACAAGTGGCTGCGAATCGAAAACTCGTCTCTGAAGTTTCAAAAGGCTCTATACAGTAGTAAATACGTAGCCCTGAGGCATCTTCTAACCGCGAACGCACTTTCGGCTAACCTGACCGTCTCACACATTAAAAGTGCACAATGAGTTTATCATTTACTGGATCGTTCGTAGATATTATGTTTTTTAATCGATAACGTACGTCGATACGTCCCAGTGAAGTAGCAATTACCTAGCTCGTTTCTAGCCGCGCCATCGTCAATATAACGCAAATACAAGATATGCAGGTTTTGCACAGGTTAGGTTAATTCGAAAGTGTCTTTTCAATAACAATCTTAGCTAGTAAGCGTAATTTTTAACAGTAGATAGATTTTAGTAGCTCACGCGACCACCTTTCAAGTCAATGTAAAATACACAGAGCTCTATAGATACAGATAAGGTAAGTTTCTAGATCATTTTTCAGACATTCTAATAGATAAATCCAGCTCACAATATGAGTAGCTATTAGAATCATAATGTATTCACTTATAGTCGTTTGTTACCATTAGACTATATAGGGCTCTGATCATCAATGTATTGGTTCTGCCATTGATAATAGGATCGTTAATATGTGCTGCCTATACAGACGCGTGCAAGCTTACACATGCAGGAATGCTCTAAATATGCGGTAATATGCACAAATAGGATAGGAACGATGTACGATAACGACACGCCGACCAGTTTTCTTTCTCAAGCTAATATTTTCTGCATTTTAGGAAGGCATTTCCTAGGTTAACAGCGGAGGGCAAATACTAATTACTTAGTATTATTCTTGTTTACTCATCTTATTACATCGCTTACTGGATAAAGCGAGTCCAACAACTAAGATTCCTTGCCATCTTTATAGGCAACTAATTTATCTGTAATGACTGCTGTCTAGGCTAGCCCTTTAATAAGGGTTCTGTTTCGACTTCTTTCGAACTTAGCCCGAATTCATAGTACAGCGGTTGCCTCCTAACGACCGATTCACGTTTTTATATCATTTTGAGAGAAAAACCTGCTTCAGGTAACAAGCAGCTATAAACTTACGCAGGCTGAGGTGTGTTCTCTCGTTATGTGTAGTCTTTCCTCCGAGCTCGAATTTTTCGCCTTTTTTACGAGGTCAAAAGGAAATACGTCTAATGCCTTATATTGACGTTCCTCATACTAAACGCCAGGCTTTTAGCTAGTTACAGAAACTAGTTAACGCGTAGCTTCGCGGAAACATGTCGCGTTTTCGTACGCGCTCGCTCGTTGTGCTGCCACCAGACCTGGTCTTTTGCGACCGACGGGCATGCGTAACACGCTTAAACCCGCATATATTAACCTAAATGAAAGGCGCCTTTCAGAGACGTAACCATAACACGGAAAATTACGGAAAAAAAAAGAAGTTTACGCGGACAGCATGCATGCATGAATTCAGTTAGGAAACTTGTTATACTGCTCCGGAGGCTGAAGGTGCGAGAAAGCCAGCGGAATACGCTTTTTTCATTTCCTTGGCAAGGGGAAACAGGTACAATAGGCCATTATTTTCGACGTGTTGAGATCGTTCATAATAGACTTGGTGAAAGCCGAGGGAAACCATAGTAGCTAAGGTAAAATCGTCCAGTCGATGAAAGTTGACTTAAAGCCCTGTTTACAGTTTCGCTTCCGATCGGATCAAGCTGCCGCCTGCTATCTTTTGGCAGTGACTGACAAAAAGTGACTATGATCATCGTATAGAAGATGTCGGGACGTGCCGTTTTGCAAGTCGATCGGATAACATTCATAATAATAATTCCATACTGAATTGCTACCGCATTGCCTCCTAGCGCGATTCTCGCTCGCTGAAAGGAAACAAGTAGAAACCTAGTAGCCGTGGTCCAGTTGTCAGCTGTATACTGCAATGTCTCAAATATATAATATATATTATTTATTACAGTAATATAGGCCAAGTGGCGAGGGTTGAAAGGGATTATTAATTTGTACCTTGTGCTGTAAACTGTACGAGCTTCTAAATAATCAAATTATGTCCTGCTACGATTGAGGGTTCGAGAATTTAGTATTGTAACATTAATATACCTAAATATTCCCTATCGTTTGCATGCAACTCGTTACTTTCTGGTATAACGTAAACCATTGCCTTTACGTCTGCCTATTTTGCCATTTTGGTCAATATGGGCACAGAGTATTGTTGTGTTTAGCTGGCTATTGAACGTGTACGTGCACGCCCATTAGCTGATGATGCCGCAAACAGGTTCGCTGTCAGTACATGGTACGACTCTTATTTCCACACCACAGGTCGTCGTGTCATCGACCCTATAGGATAAGGCCGTTCGGGTGTAATAAGAAAAGAATGATGAAGTTACGCTTAACTTTCGTTCTGTCCACTTCTTCTACGATATACTCGTACGTCATAAACATCGTCAGCCATGTTTTTATGACATAAAAGCACTGTCCCATCTTCCTATCCGACAATGTATCTTCCAGCTTACTGCCCATCTAATGTAACCTTAACGCATTTATCGGACCTCTCGATGCCATTGCAGCATGCAAGTAAAGCTGTTTACGACATGTAACGCCAGCAAACACCGTGCTTCGACGGGGAGGAAGATATATTGACTCGCGTGTAGACATGCTCAGTCTCAAGCGAGTCGCATCTAACGCTAACGTTTAATGCGTAACCAGCCTCTCATCTTAACACTGAGGGAGACAACAAAAAGATACCCTCGGCAGTAGTACACAGGCGTTATTCTTTAAAGAAGGCGTTTGAGGGACGAGCAGAATTCTCCCCTGCTGCTTTTTCATCCCGATGAGCCCACAGCGATGTCAGCCTCTCACCCGGCAGCTACTCATTCTCATGTGCCAACTCCGCCCTAGGGTGCCCGCTCAGCGGTACCACTACCGGCATCGTTGTGTACCCCTGTGTACATTTTCATACGTAACACTACTGCTACTGTAGCGCTATCCGCCAGATCTCCGATGCACCCGCAACCCTCCTTCAGCAAGCACAGTGGCGTGTCACATTAATTAGGCGGTTAGGGAATAACAGCACGAATGTTCAGCACCCAGCACTAACACCGCGAACACTCCTTCCTTACGGAGTTCGCCAATCGTTTTCTAAGGACGGGCACTCACGCCTCGCACGCGCACGCCGGAGGTAACGGGAAGGAAAAAGGGGAACGCATGGGTACGAGCAAAATTCGAGTGGAGAGAGACGGCAAAGAACAGCAACGATCTTGTTTGCCTTTTTTTATCCATTTACCTTTTTCGATACGATTAGCGCAGTATAGAAGTACACACTGTTGCATATGAGAGGCTTGTGTGTGTCATTGTTTAGCGGGAGACTCGTCTTCAGGAAATTAACGTCCGCGCACATCCAGGCCATCGCTTTCACGTTCCCTAGTGCTAACGTAGACGAACCGAGTTCGGTTTTTATATACCTAATACTTGCAACTGGGTTGGAACGAAGAGTGCCGATTTTGATGGTAGGGCCTTAACAAACAATGTTCTCGAGCATTTATTTCTTCGGTTTACGCACTAGACCTTCTTTTACGGTAAATTTTCGAGGCTCTCCATATTGCGTGCTGACTAATCTTAATTAACCTATTACTTCGATTTCTGCATTTATTCACCGTGTAGAATCTGATCAAGTAAAAAAGCTGTCTTAGTAACAACGGGAAGGCAGTAGACGTTACACCTAGGCGATAGATTTTACATATTTTTCAGATGCAGGCTATATGACACTGTTTATCATGGCATGCGTAAAACTAGCTTGAGGATGTACCAATCAATATGTGCCAAGTATTGTTGAAATTTCTTAAACTATATTTTCAGAGTAACGGTGCGCTTACTGAAAAATTGATTACATATTTTCATGTCTGTCGATAGGACTCATTCTCGTGGGAGCATAACAGAGAGCAGCGTAACCACGCTAAACCAGTGCATCGTCACTTCATCGCAGCGCCGCGAGGACAATGAGGATTGCGGTATACACTCAGATTCGTTCATCTCTTCGAGATGGATCTATATTTCGAAAGAGGACGAAATGTTGGCGTGGAAATCCAACAATAATAACGCCAAAAATAATAACACCGAAGGTATTAAACCAATAAAATTACGAGTACCTATCTCAAACTTCCACTGATCAGATCTCGATTTAAATCTTACCGATTCTTCCTACAGACATCTTTTATAACTCCACCATAGATACGTAAATTCTACTCGAGGCAAACCGTCAAAATAGATTGACGGCACAGTATTGCCTTCGATCATTGCTGCTGTTTGCCGGCGTTTTCCATATACATGTGCATGCTTCCATATGCTAAGAGACATATGGTAACATGCGTCTCGCGTTTTTTTTTTTTTTTTTTGATATTCTTTTATCTTTTGCTGTTAACGATGTCTATTGTACTCCTGCACGGGCCCTTCCTTGTAACGCATCAATTGTTTAAACGCTATTTGCTCGAGCGTATAGATTAAACTATGGAAGTAATGAAAGTGAAATTAATGTTCGTCAAACCTGGGATTTTGGCGACTCAAAAAAAGGAAAAAGAAAGTCTTGAAAAAAGAATCCAAAATAAAAATCTGCCAGACAGTGCGCTCGGTCTGCTGGTTGGTAGCTAGGCTATTTTTACGGAGCCTGCCTGACAGGTTTCGACTCTTCTCGGCAGAGAGTCTCGGCAGTTAAAAGCTACCTCAGATGTCGAAGGTTTTATTTTCGAAATAAGCCTACGGAGATTAACGACTCATGTTTTATCTCAAAAAAGCACTGAAATAGGCGAACCGTAACGTTTATTGTTAACGATTAGAAGGTTGAAGTTCTGATGCTCATAGAATTCATCTTCAACATTGGTTATTTCTTGTGACTCGTAACGGCTATGCCAGTTGTTTGCAGTCGCTTTTGGGCCGACACAGGTATTGTATGGGCTAACCGTAATAAACGTAGAACATCTACATAACGCTTATAGAAGATCTGTTCGCTAAACTATATATATATATATAGTTTAATTCTATACCTGATCATTTGCGTCACAGATTGCGTGCGAGCAGATTACTCTATATAAAATGGTTAATAGGAACGATAGGCTGCGACATTTCCTGCAGACAGTATATCTTTTAGTTTTAAGGATTATTTCTCCCTAGATTTCTGCAAATATGCTGATTGTATATATTGAAGCTACTCTCTAGAATATCGCTGTAGGATAAAATCGTGAGACCGTCCGGAACCTCAGAGACAATTAAAGGGCTCGATGACTCCAGTAGTTTCTAATCCGGAGAATCATAGGAAAGTTTTTGCTCACTTTCCGACGTAAGAATGATAAGAAACTTTATATATAAGCAATATATATAGAGTCCCGCTTCCCGATAGTCTACAGAATATGAGGGGAGCTACCCTACTGAGAGATAGACCATCGAAGTCCTGCAAAGAAACATTTGTCATTGACAGACGGTTTGTTTCGGTTTTTTTTAGCCTATTCTTGTACCAAACCAGTTATTTTGCTACCTATAAGAAGCGCATATTAAGAAAGACAACCTAAGACTAATTATGTCAGCGGACCTTTATTAAACTTGCAAATACAACTTACGTTCGATGATTGCGGGCAGACTTTTCAGATGAGTTGCATATTCGCATTTCGGTCATTGCTGTCACGCCGAACCTTCTTTAGCCTTTGGTACTACCGGTTAGAGATCATGCGTGAAATTGTGGGTTTTATCTGTTGTATTACCGATATCCCTTTCTTTTCGCTTCCAGTACCTTTCGAGGCCCGGATTATCTTTGCGCTGACGAATGATTGTTGCGGTACGTTGTGGTGAACTTCCAAACGCTCTTAGGAAGTGAGGTTCTGAACAGTTGGAACGTCTTATAATGACATCATTTTTAGATGTTGTTTTGGACAATTTTGTTAGAGTGCTAATTATATAAATAGAAGATTATTACGACTATCTGCCTTATCAATTTAAATCTAAATTTTTGCAAAATTTTCTATATTCATACAAATGTTTGTGACCTCACTTCTTCACCCATCTTGTTGATTTATCTCTGAGTTAATTTCATTTCAAGCCAATCCCTGAACCAATACGATGACTGAGTTGTTGTCGCTCAACTCAGCTCGCTCTTGGAAAACCAAAATTGGTCGTTCGATGATCGGCATTAATCCTAGTCTTATTGTAAGCAGTAGCTAAGAAGCCGGATGTTTTTTCAGTTATCCGTGTGCGCGAAGTTTCCGTTTTTTCTTGAAGTCAGCCAACTTACAAAACTCCAATACATCCGAGCGTGTTTTAGTTCGTTTAGTCGGTAGCGTGTCTTTTGCTCAAAACCGATTCCCTATATTATGCCTGCGTCGGAACGGCTTGTCTCGCCGTTGTTATGATCCAGGCTGGACACAATCGAAGTATAAACCACTTACGAAGAACTTCGTTCTTTCCTTAAAGCCTGCGCTAATAGCGCTGTTACATCTTCCATCTAAAACATACATCCATTAAATAGAGAGCTATCCAGATTTTGAATCCAGACGCAGCAACGCTATATATAAGTCTAAAAATATCTCTGTAATGTAGAAGTTGCCCGTCGCGGCTCGAACGAAATAGGAAGAAATCTTCTATTGACTGCGCGTATAGCCCACAGTTATATGTGGGAGGGAGGAAGAAAGGTTTTGGGGTCGATGTTTTTATACCTGTTCGTTAAGACAACTTAGTAAATACAGTGGCTAAGTCATTTAAGGCGTTATTATAATCGTCTTCGTTGATGGCAACAGAAGAAACAGCAGCATTATTTCAGGTTTTCTTAGAAAAGTACTATAAAGGACTTTCGCGCCCAGTGTTGGCAGTCAAATACTAGAGCCGCGCTATAGGTCCTTCGGGTACCTTGAGCGATGAGCCAGCTTTTACCATTCGATGTGGGAAACCCACTGTGGCAATAGAGCGTGCATTTTAAAAGGTAACAGAACGTTTGCGTTAACCCAGAAACTTGACCTTCGGTCTATACAAGTTGGCTGGCTGGCTGGCTGGGTTGTTCCCACTGCAGAACAATTCTATACAAGCCTAAATTTGTGCTGTGCCTAGTTACGAAGTTAATGAATGGCCTTCCGCCTGGCTTCTTTGTCAGCTGGATTAATCTCCTACAACACATCCATACCTCGTGTCAGCTGATTCTGTAGAAAGGCCGTGCTTTTTTACCACTTGGATATGATTCGCTTACCACATAATCATTTTCTGGCCTTCGTTTGCAGAAAAAGATGAAAGCTTAATCATCAAGACAAGCGTTAGTCGATGCGACTCAACCGAGTCAGAACGGGCTTTCCAGAAACAATACACTACGATCACGCATCGAATGATTCATCGAAAGGCTAGCCTCGAGATGTACAAGCGAGTTACGCAACGATCTTTAGGTATAACAACACTAAATTTTGTTAGATGCTTCGATCGTCTGCAAATAGCTCCCAGAATACGCTCATTTTGTTTGCGTATCGTTGCGATACGTCGGACAGAGACTTACGTCAAGTAACAGCCAATCAATATATCATCACTGCCAGCACTGTCCTAATATTAATACTGTAAGCAGTCACTAATTAGACTAAAATATAATAACACCTACTTATCCTGATCTAGCTGACTAACACATAAAACCACCGATTGATCATTTCAAACAGGCATAAGATAGTTGATTGGAATACTGATACTTCGAAATTTGTTGATCTTATGGACGCCGATATTTGTTTGAACACAATTGAACCCTTTACGGGTAGGTACCGCTTTGGCAAGGGGACGAAATGCGAGGAAAAGCGAGAAAAAATTACCGGTCTTTAGCTAGGATTCAGATTCATTGTAGACGTCCAAAAGGAAGTCTTCAATACGGGTTCAATAAGAGATTCGTTCATTCTGTTTGCAGCACTAATTGATCTGTGCAGAGTTATTTTTGTTTATTTTGTTGCACTAACGGCGTGGACCGTGTTTCACCTGGCTTTTTTTTTTTGCGCGAACAGAGCCAACGAAAACTGTAAAGATCGAGCGTCAAAATGGTGAATTTGGATTTCGCATCCACGGCTCGCGACCTGTCGTTGTGTCGGCCATCGAGAAGGGCACGCCCGCGGAAAGCTGTGGACTCGAAGTTGGAGATATTGTCGTATCAATTAACGGAGTCAAGGTAAAAAAAAAAAGACGGATCGACTTCATGCGCAGTCTACACCAAGTGGATCGGTTTACGAGTTGATGCACAGGGATCAAATGTTCCGAAGTATTGCTTTATAATCCATCTAACTTGAGGTTCAGTAGCAGAGGTAGCACATAAAGACTGCAACAAAGTTGGGTGAGAGAGCCCCGTTTCCCGACAACTGCTGCGTATACATACATAGAGAATAACGTATGTGAGACGTGTTATGTGCTATAGGATTGCTCCGTATAATACGAATATGTCAGCGATCTCGTAATTGCAGGTGATGGACGCCTCTCACACCGAAGTGGTCCGTGTAGCCCACGCCTGTGCGGAGACGCTTAAGCTTGAATTGGCTCGTACGTGCCACATTCTTGCGCCTAAAGTCGACGTACCTGAACCAGAGATGCAGGCAAGTTAAAAATGCCTTTCATCTATTTACACAAAAAAACTCATATAGTTCCATAATCGGTAGATCGTAAAGAGTCTGTAAAGAGAAAGATATATCGTGATAGATTAGGGCACATGCACGTTTGATTATCGCTAAACTAATCAGTCTCGAGCTGCTGCTGAATGGCCTTTTACATAGGTTGTCTCCGACAATTTAATTGAAATCTATGGTCTTCAGGGCTTCCTTCAGCGGCTCTCATCGACCAGCTCAAGTCGTCGTTGGTGTAGGCGATGGTTCGTTCTCAAGAAGAGCGGCCAACTGTGCTGGTTCATGGCGCATGGGGAAAGCGATCCATTGGGCGCCCTGATGACAGATAACCTTCGGGTAGAGCGTGTTATCGAGCCAGGCGCAGAGCATGCCTTTAAGGTCACCTTTACCTGCAGTGCAAGCGGTGGCAATAACTCCAAGAAAAATGGCGCAGCATCTGTCGGAGGTGGTACCTACTTTGCGGCGGATGACGAGGACAGCGCCACGAAGTGGATAATGGCCTTCAAAAAAATGGCCAGCCCCTCGCTAACGGTAGGTTGTTACTCGAATGTATTTCGCCTTGTTATGTCTTAATTTACCTATTGCAGCCAATGAATGATTTTATTGCGTATTTATACTTGATAACGTTCCACGATCCGCAATACTTTACTGGCATACAAAATTGAACTTACTGTATATCCGTAGAACAAACTGTAAAATTATTTATTGGAGAAGGAGAATTTCTAGCTGCCTGTTCTAATTGCCACGACGTGTTACAGCATCAAGAGCGGTATCTGGAAGAAGTGAGGGAGAACCTTCAACGACCAGTAAATACAATGACACAGATAGATTGCCAGGGGTTTTTGTGTAAATATTCCGACAGGGCTGGAGCCTGGAGGAGCTACTATCTTGTACTCAAAGACGCCTCGCTGTACATCTATGAAGATAGAAATGACCTCAGGGCTTTAGGTAATTAACGTTTTACTCCATATCGATGTGTGTTTTTATTCACTTGAACGCAGATTATTTAATGGACTGATTATCTAAGACTACCTCTACATTGCTGGATATTGCAGTCACGTTTCGGTGTAGTAGTCGCTCATAAAGTGCAGATATTTTATCTAGGATAAGTTTTACAATACGGTCTATTTTGGTGATTAGTAAGTGTTACCCAGATGAATGTAAAGGCGCAAATATATTTCACATATGATTCGAGTGAATAGACTGTTGCACTAACAGTATTAACTTTCAAGTTCAAGTCGAAGGGCCCATGCAATAATAGGCCAGTATTGCGCCAGGTATGCAAGCCCATGCTCGTATTGAATTTTATTCTTTGCCCGTTGGATTTTAGGCGTATATTTGCTTCACGGTTATCGTGTACAAAGCTCTTCAGCCATGGGCAAGCGAAATGTTTTCGAGGCTATTGCCCCTGGGTCTGCTCTCACAAAAAATCTGCTATTTTTAGCCGAAACCGAACAGGAGAAAAAGAGGTGAGGAGGATTTGTCAAAAATGTTCATACTTTGGAAAAGATAACTTACTGTCCCTTTATTTAATCAAGCAATTATTTTTACCTTAGTCTCTTTAACGGAAAATACGTTACAGAAATCTCTGCCTTATGATATTATGCCGTCTTATAAACCTTATGCTACCGTGTCTATTATCGATCGTACTAGTTCAACTTAATCAGACTATTTAATTTCCGTTCACCACTTCTATTTATATGTTTCATGGATCTGCCGTATATTCCAGGTGGCTTGCTTCGTTAGAATACTCAATAGATCGGTGGCTGAGGCTTTGACAAGCACCGCTTGTACGCCCCCAGGCTGACAAGTGCGGATGATCGCGGCGGTGTGTCATAGCAAGGCGAGACACCTCGACTTTTAGCAATGGGCGTAACGTGCAAAGTGTTATCTCTCGGACCTTGGCGTCACTCGAGAATCTTGCTCGTTCGCCTAGCGGAAAGGAGCAAAACTTGTCGGAGCTGATCACTTTTCGAGTTAAAGTTTCCGCTCGGAATTGCTGCTACAGCAGCTGTGGCTGGCGCCAAGTTGAAAGCTGTCAGGAGCAAAAAGGACACAACCGATTGAAAAGATGGGTGTATTCATTTTTCGGACGCCACTCGCGTCGAATACGCTGCTTCACGATGTTTGCACGTACATATATGTCAACGTTCCATATTGCTTTTTGACTTCGAACACTACTGGACATAAAAGCTGCATTTAAAGCTAAATGCCTAACTGATTACTATAGCTGCCATTGTCCATTGTTAGAATCCATTGTCTGTTCGGATCAGATAAAGTCAGTTGACTTCGAACCGAGGCTACCCATCGATCAGTGTTCCTTCAGAGAAAGAACGTTCCGTAGAAGATATGTATGTGAAGTAGAAGAAAATGGCGCGCACACACACACACCCACCCACTTACGCAAATAAAATCATACCGCCCCAAGACGAAAGCACCCCCGTGTGGACAACGAACATGCGGAAAAAGTCAGCGATGCCAAAACAAATACAAGTTCTACAAGCATGCACGGTGTGCGGAACGTTTATCCACTGCTTTCCATAAAGCAGCAAGCGAAACGCCCAATAAAACAGAGACTATATGTGCATTGAACAAACAACTGACTTGTTAGGGGCTCGTATATACGTAGAGTATAGCTACGATATTTCTTGTAGTATATGTTAAGTCTTAGAAATTTATTCTAGATCATATTTTACCTACATATTTCTATGGGACAAGGGGAAACGAGAGTGGCTTTGTTAGTTTAACGATAATGTTAATACTGGTAAACTGGCAAGTTGCGAGTAGACGGAACCAGATAATTACATTATTCCGACGTTTTTTCTTTTGTTGTCCGTCGCAGCAAAAACGGATGTTCTATCACCGATAAAATTAACCGAAAAAATAATGGAAAAACAGCGAAATGTATCGACGTGCATTTTACGGGAATAATAATAATAATAATAAGAAATTAATGGCGAGATATCGAAACGCGAAATGGGATTTCCAACCAATGAGAAAAATAATCATTATCATTACTCTTCATATTTTTACATAGATCTAGCTGGATATTCCTGTTGGTAGTTGTCTCAATGAGCCGTGTCTTTTCGCGAATCCACGGTTTATAATTGTATTTGCAATATAGTATGCATAACCATGCCCCCCGCAGCACTTATATGTGTCTGGAGATCTTGGCCTGATGAGAGGCGAAAACAACCCATTATCAAGCAGCGAAGGACAAAATGATGAATAGCAGAAGTATAAAACTAGTTAAAATGTAGCAATTAATGAGGACGACGGTACGATCGTTTTGCTCTACGAATCATTGCCGATACTGTAACCAACGCCATAATTATCATTATTTCAATAATAACAACTGTTACATTGTTGTCATTTACAAATAACCATCATCATTCAACAAATATACACATATAAACAACAGATTGATGGACGTCAGTTTTTTTGGAATCATCATATTCAGACTACACTGCATATTTGAGAGATTCAACGTGCTTCCTGAAAGTGGCAGGCAAGAAATGTGTGAGCTTAAATATGAAACATGATGACACGCCTATTTTGGCAGGTAAACAAGACGGAACATAACGGCCAAGCAGCTCAAGCGCCGAGCTGTCATGATTTCAACATCACAAAACGCTGTATCAAGCGGACTAAGAACGTGAGACCTGGGGGATGTGAGGGGGAAACGTAAGCCATTGGTAAGGATTACAGGATAGTAGACAAATCAATGATATCTTTTGGCGAAGGACAAAATATGGTGGCAACGAAGGACGAGTAACGAAGTAACACGAGTTATTAAGAAGCTTAACGGTTTTGCAAGAATTCCGATAGACACGAGGCTGCAAATTGGTGGGGTCCATTTTAATATTCCAATACACCACTCAAATAATTATCAGCGAACAATTAATACCAATGATCGAAATTGACTTTAGTCACTACGACGTTTTTGTTCGCCGTCTGATTAGTTGGCCAAACTGGGTCCTTATCACTTGACAACTGACGAAGCTATTGTTGGCAGGCCATGTGGGGAGGAAATAATTTGATGGCTTTGAAAAAAAACCTAGCCACGAAGTGGATTAAAGAAAGTCGTCGCTTACTTATTGATATCTTTTGTATTTTGCCTTGAAGACCTTATACATATTCACCTACATTAAGGCTAGCATTCACCAGTTCTTACATAGCAGCCTTATAGTTATTTTACTAGCCAACTATGATATATATATATATATATATTGACAATAGAATCCCCTAACAGACCGTTCTCATTAGTTAGCGGTCGTTACTCAATGACAGACAAATACTCATAATAACAGCCACATTATTATACAGAATAACGAACCTATTTGAGCGTACGTAGCTACTGCAGCTTAAAGGCAAACAACTCAATGTGACTACGAAAACAGAAAACGTGGACAACTAACGGTAGGTAAGCAGCTGATGAGGTCCTAGGCAAAAATGACTTTTACAGAAAAAAAAACCCGGGTAGGAGGCAATACTATGAAGCATTTATGTCGATGCATGAATACGAAACAGCGACGCCGATGACGGCGTATACGCTCTTGAAAACTTCGCGCATCCTGCGTTGTCCGCAATAAACCTTCATACAAAACATTGTCCAAATCGAATAACCCACAAGTGGAAAAAGCCTCGCGTTTGCAGCCGCCACCAGGGTGTAGCAGAGAAATATAGAACGATACCTCTATTATGTTTGCGCGAACATAGGGAATGGGAAATGGAATGAACGTGCATGTGTGCGAAATGAGAATATATAGCCATGTGTAGGTGATTGAGGGTCGAAATGAACAATTATATAGACGGAAGACTCAAACGCGACGGAACAGCGTGTTATTAGTTCGTTCAGAGTCTGTTTTCGAACAGAAATCGCAGCAATTGGAACCGGGCACAGCTCGAAAATGGCCATGCCCCACGAAAAAATCGAAACTATTCCATTACTATATATATATATATATATATATATATATATATATATATACACGTGCTTAGCGATGGTGTCTAGAAACTATGATTACTGATAATGCCTCGTTCATACAATTGACGAAGAACGTTGACGAGCATCTGTACATTAATGAGGTTTATATATGGTTGTTGTTGACTAGAACGTACGGCAGAAGCGAGAGAAAGAAAAAAAAACATGGTGTGACGAAGCAATTTAGAAAATTATAATAATGATCATAACTACGAAAACGAAGATGGTGTAATTTGTTAGCGTTAGAGGGTTTATTGTGCAGTAATCTAGCACATAAAGTCTACCTCAGTCCTTTTCACAATTCACTAGACATGATCGACATCGATTTTAATAAGACGCCTATACGCTTCCCACCACCGAGGCTCACTGACGATACGATCCTGAGAAATTAAAGTGAACTATCGAGCATTTGCGGCCAACTTGCCAATGCAATAAACGTACGGCGGGATCTCAAATGGAATGGTAGCGCCTTGCCCGGCCCTTCTGAACAAAGTGAGGACATAGACAGCGCCAAAAGATAACAAACACAGTAAACACACGCAAGAGCATGACGAAATGTGTGATTCTAGAAACATTAATAAATTTTCTCACTGTCTACGAAATACAAAGCTATTTTCCCTTTATTAACTAGGCCTTTATATGGACGCACTCGTGTAGGTACGAGGTACTTACATGAAAAAGGACATCGAAGAACGTTTGTTGAAAGTGACAAATTCATATTGCTCTATGCGAAGATAAAAGAAACAATTGTTTTTAATGCGATCCATGTTAACTAGAGATATTGTCAAAATCGTCTCCGCATAGTAAACCTAACGATCTCATCATAGATGTATTAAAATAGATTTATGCCTTCTTTTTTCAGATGTAATGTATAGATACAAAATGGCCTGTAAGAGTTTGAGCAGTCAGACAACCATCGTTCCACATACGTTCAAGTAGCGGGACATTGCAAGAAAAAAAAAAAGGAATTTCATTTATACAACACATCTTTAGCAGAAACACCCTAATACCACCTCCCAAATGTATATGATTCTATGTAGTCGTGCGCCAGTGTTGGTATATGTCTAAGAGGCAACCATAACTATCGTGCTCATTCCAAATAGATGGTGCGTACGAAATGTTTGAATGGCGAACTATTTTCGATATTATTCGACGACTTCACACGAGAGCTCTTGAGGGAGAAATGCTAGGACAGCGACAAATCTAGATTCTTCACGCAGAACTGGAAAATAGTGTGCGAAACATTGGCGTCGACCATAGATTGCTGTTTTGCATTTTCCTTATCACCTTTCGCCTCAAAAATCTATCCTTTTTTTGGTATTTATATCTAATAGGGTACATCAATAGGAATGGTAATAGGTTTACGCATTAAATAACACTGCTGTAAGATGTTGGCTAAATTTTCTGAGCTCCAAAATGGTAAACATAATAACTAGCTACAAACTGTCCGCGAGCATTTCTAATCTCAAATAGCTAGACAATTCTGTTTTGCGAACTCCGCCGAAATAAGAGGACAAGCAGTCCAATACGGAACATATGATAGGTCTGACGCATGTATTTAAAAAAAGAGTTTTATGACAAGCCTTTGCTTGAGGCTTCAGGTTGGGCTTAAGGGTAGGGGTTGGGTGAATTGCTTTTGCTTGAAGCCTTAGGCTGGGCTTAAGGGTGGGGGAGGGGGTCACTAGAGGAGCGTCCACAAAAAAAAGACCTTTAAATGAAGGAAACAACATCGACTAAAACGGGTAGCGTATCGTTCGTAGATCTCTTTAGCACGGGCCACGCAAGCCAAAATCAGAACGGCAGTAGTTGCTTTAAACCATTTAATAAATATAGTACTTTCCTCCAACCAATATAATATAAAAGCACTCTTTGTGGATCTAGCGGATCGTCATATCTAAATAAATATTTCGAAGTTTACATTCGGTGAAAATTGTGCTATTATTGTTTGCATTCGTGTGGCGATAGATAATGATCGTAATCTCCTCGGGAAAAAGATTCTTTAATGGGTTAAGTTGTTGGGTCGTTGGACAAGCGTTAGACGTGGTGCATTCTTATACACTGGTTCGCTTTTGCGGTTTGTGACTCGCCTGTTACATAGTGTACTGTTCAAAAGTTTCCTCAAAACTCCACAGGGTAGTCATTGCTCATCGTACATATATAGATTTGAGAACGCCATTTTTACTTCGAGTTCCAAAATAGCGAGAGTCAGCCTTTTTTGACACACACGTTTGATGCCACATACTTGATCAGCGGCAAAAAAGTTGTGCCGACCATTTCAAGTATTTGACCCGCGTATGGTGACGACTCCATTGCTAGAAAGTGCAGCTTTAGCTAACGATTCTGTTCTCCTAAAAAAACGCTCAGATGGGCTCATGACTGATCTTTGTAAGAAACTAAC